AAAAAAAATTTTCTTCAGCGATTGGGGGGGGGGGGGGGAGGGGCATTACTTCCCTGCCCCCGCCCCCCCCCCCCCCCGTGGGCGCCCATGGTTCACTTTACATTTCATTACGGAGTAAGCCTTCTAATTTTACATAGGCTAATATAATTCAGTTATTTTTATCCATTCAGTAGTGAGCCTAACATAACTGTATTTAGTTAGTCTTTATTATTAGTTATGCACACCTGTGTTCTGACTCTGGGTATAACTTTACGGTAATTCTACTATTACTATTATTCATAATATATATTACCGTAGTCGTAGTGCCGTAGTGTAGTACTGGTATAATGTAGGCTATATTATTAAGTATGCCTAAACTATAAATCATAAATCTAATACGATAATATATTTTATTTTGTTTTACTATTCAGGATCTAGGTTCAAGAAAATAATGTAATGCCCAACGGTTACTTTAAAGAACTGATGGGCACGACTACAGCAGTCAGAGCATGATTGAACAAGTCATCACTGCTATACTGATGCTGGAAGTATTGATATGAAGTATTCAAGGGGAAAATGTTTAAAATGTCAATCATCTGATGATACCAGCTTTATCACCTATCTTAGGTGTCCACTTCTGAAACTTCTCAATTTATGAGTCAAAATATGAAACCTTTACACTACGGAGATTTTATAGACACTAAAGTGTGTTGACTCAAACTATCCATTTTCATGATAAAGAAGAGAACATGAACTCCATATAAGAAAAGATGCTTTCCACTTATGGTAGCCATACGTTTGTTCTAAAAATGCCCAGATAACACATTGCCAAAGTTGACTTTTCAAGCCTAAGTAAATTGAAAAATTGCAATTGCTAGGAAATTTAATAAATATTTACATGTATACACATTAGTTTCTTACTGTTATCCGTTTGTGACGTATTTCAATGTTTTATTTGACAATTTCATGCTTGTTTTTATATTAATCAACAAAAACGCATTGCGATAATCAGGAATTTTGAGTTTCATTAAGTTTCAGGGATTGAAAAATTTGTAAATGAAGTTTCAAGAAACCCCTGCTTCTAACTTAGCAGGTATGTAAAAACTAATTAAAATAGGGAATCAATGGTTTAAAAATTCCGTTCATATTCTATGAAATATTTTGAAATATTATTATTATTTTACTATTATTTTACTGATTTTTGTGTGCACCTCGACTTCGCGGCCTTTACAGCCATTTCAGCATCATGAAATAAATTGACCCCACCCATCCTTAAATTTGAATCTATTTTTTCCTCTTTATTTTATCAAACAAAAGAATACTTTAAGTTGTTGATGATACTTTAAATTATTATTATTTTTTACTATTTTTTATAAAAATATTGTGTTACTACTTGTAATTTAAGTTTAAGAAAGGGCCACGTGACATAGCTTTGCGTTGGTAATGTAAACAATTTCCAACTGAAAAGTTGAGTGGTGGTGCACTAAGCCTAATTACTGAAGATTGCTTATTATAATTAACTTTAATTTGTATATTTTAAAATTTTAAGTTTATTTGTTATATACATAACCATGTCATATCCACACAAGCAATATTTAAATCAATTAAAGTTTGAAGGAAAAAACTCTGAAAATGTTACAACTTAAAAAGTGTGTGTATTCTACATTCTACAGCTGGTTAACTGTATGATGCCTTACAAAAACATTCCTGTCAAGTGGAAAAGGAAGAAGACAACTTTGCCCCATCTAATTATAGACAAAAAACTGTTGCTTCAGTTGTGAAGCAAATTACAAATCATGGGAGCAGGTACTTACTGTTGTTAACTAGAATTAGAGGAGTGAATGTTTGGTAGGTGAAGCATGTTTTTTTAAGTTGTAGGTTGTGAAGTTGGTTCACTGTGTTGAGCTTTATGGTATGAAGAGTTTTGTTGTGTAGGGATATAAAAGGCAGTAAAACGTTAAGATCATAACACTTAGTTCTTATTGAAAGTTATTGCAAACTATTTAATTTTAACCCTCGAACTATGGTCGGCCGATTTCGTCGGCCAATATTCTTGTTCTATGCTGTGGTGGCCGATAAAAAACACGGTTCGATAGCAACTTCCAATCCAATATTTAATCGAAATTATAGCCTTTTCCTTTTATTAATCTTCTTCTTCTATATCTTAAGGGCCCACGATCTATTTATTGATCATTTTGGCTCCTATGCATGTAGATGGGATTTGCAATGTTTCTGTTCCGGGTGGTGATGAGGAAATTTCACTGATTACCAGTGCCACTTTGTTAGGGAATCATGCACTAGGGGTTTGAAAGCTTGGGGCAATAGACACAAATGTGTCTAGTGTTGTCGCCTCAACTGTTCCTTTTGAAAGCTTGTTCCAGTCCCTAATGGTGTTGGGCAGGAATGAGCAGCTCCTATACTGGCTTCTTGCTGGTATGAGCCTGAATTGCCTGTCATGGCCTCGTCGCTGTCTATGGGGGAGAGGGACGAGTTTCTGTTTAATACTGGAACAGTGGACCAGCCCATTATTTATCTTGTACATCATGGAGAGCCTGGATTGTCGTCGTCGTTCCTCCAATAATGACCAGCCTAGTGTTTCTAGCATGCTGCCAACACTAGAGGTATTCCTGTAGCGGCTTAGGACAAAGTGTGCTGCTCGTCGCTGGACCGCCTCCATCCTGTCAATGCTCTTCTGGGTAAATGGGTCCCAGACTGAAGATGCATAATCTAAAACATGACGGACAAAGGCTTTATAAGCTCTTTCTTTCACACAGGAGTTGCCAATCTTTAGATTTCGCCTTAAGAACCCCAGGGTCTTGTTTGCTTGGTTACAAATATTGTTAATATGCTCGTCCCAGCGGACCTCTCTTTGAATGGTAACACCCAGGTACTTTACGGAGAAACTTGCTCAAGTATATGGCCGTGCAGTTCGTATTGGGAGTGTAGAGGAATACAACTTCTAGAGACTGATAGTGTCTGGCACTTGGCAAGGTGAAATTCCATGTCCCAGCTCATATCCCACTCAGCTAACAGATTGAGATCCTGTTGTGATCTGGTCCTAGTCAGATCTGTTGGCGATCGTCCTATACACTGCTGTGTCATCTGTGGACAGTCTTGCTTGGGATAACTTAACAATAAGTACTTTTTAATCGGAGTTTTATATCGCTGTTTTTTTTTTTAAAGCAAAAATGGCGGAAGCTGTGGCCTGGCTTTCAGTGCGAGAACAAATAGAAATATTTTTGAAAGCTTTTTAGGAGAGGTTTTAAGTGATACTGATGATAATTTTAACATTCCCCATGACGATATCAGTGGAGATTTTTCTTATCGTAAATTTTATACTAGTCTTAGTGACACTGAAGTTGGCCTATTGAGATTAGTGTTAGAGTTCGAGCCAGGCCCGGAGGTCGGGCAAGGACTGACTGAATTTGATTGACAGAAGCTACAGATTATAGTTCAGAACTAATACATTTTATAGTTTAACAACCCAAATCAGTTCCACAGTTCTTTTTTAAATGTTTTCTAGTCAATAATAACCATTTTGCCTGAGATTTTATATTTTGTACTTGGTTTTAGCTGTGGTCCCAGTTTCTTATATAAATGACCTAAAATTACTAAAATTGGTTTCAGAGCTTTAATTGCAATCAAAACCTTAGCAAACTATACATTTTCTGATAGATAAATGAATTGGCTACAACATTTACATTTTTGTTTTAAGTGTATCTATAAAAATAAATATGTTATGAGCACTTGAAAGCAAGACATTTTGTCGATTTTTATTTTCTTGAGAACTCCAAGGTCATGGCCAATGTTATCCCCATCCATTTACCTTTCTAAAATTTAATTATTGGGGTCTTGCATCAATATTTCTAAGTCATTTAATGCAATTTCAAAAGGCACTCAAAAAGCTCTAAAAACCTCCACACCACAGAATGATGCATGCCACAGTTCGAGGGTTAAAGTAATAGTATCCTTGTTCAAAACTAAATTTTGTTCATGCATTTTTTTTTTATTTCCTATTTTAGCTGGAATCCTGGTTTGCTCAAATCAAAGAAGGATTTAAGGTCCAACTCATGGTTGAAAAAGTTCTGAGGGAATGGAATGGCCACAAAGATTTGAACATGACATTGTCATTGACAGTTTTTCTGCGCCAAACTTTAGATATGGATTTCATGAGTTCCACTCTATCTTCTTTTGGAGTAACAAAGAGAGTAATCAACTTTCCACCTGAAGTGTCAACAGTACTGTCAGTTGAGTCAGAGGGTGTACTAAATGTCTGTTTTATTGATTTTTACGAATGTTGTTTTTTTAAAATCTACAAAGAGACCATTGAATTACTTTTTGAATGGTGGCATTTATATTATTTTTCTCTTCTACAGAAGCTTATTACTAAATTCAATAACTAGAAATTAAGTGGTGATATTATCCATTGATCTAATTTACTCAAAATGCATTTTCAGAATGAAAGTAATACCGGTATGTAAATTGATTTTTTAAAGTGATGTTTACTAATGCTAATGCCCACCCAGTCTTTACTTACAAATTTGCACATTTCTTTTTTTTTTTTACTTTGCTTTTGAAGATATATTTCTTTTGCAGGGTGTATTTCCTAATGTTAAATCAAAGAGTTGTAAAATATATATTATTATCTTGTTTTATGTTGTGTCCTTTGGATTTTAAGTCAAGTTTCGAAGAAAAAAAAAGGAAAAAAATTACATTTTTGTACTCGCCTTTTGTCAAATGTTTATATTATTCTATGGTATTTTATGTTGTCAGGTATGCTTATTTTATATGAAGAGTACTATTATCTTCACTTCCTAAGTGATTTCAAACATATAGGATGCTATTTATTATCTTTTGCATATTTTTTAAAATGTAAAAGTGTGAAATAAATTACCACCCATTGACCATTTTGCTATTTGCCAAATATGTGTTGGTCCAAAGTACTTCTTGTTTGCATACTTGTATAGATCTTTGATTCTCTTTTAAATTGATATGTCAATGATGTTTATGAGTAAATATCAAAATTTTTGGTGAATTTTTAAAAATAGGTAATTTTTGTGATTTTTTTCGCCTCCCTTGGTAAAATTTGAAAATTGCCATCTTTACGACAATAAATGACAAAAGTTTGATTTCCCACACTCTTGAAAAAAAATGTGATTGTTTAAAATGTCAATCATCTGATGATACCAGCTTTATCACCTATCTTAGGTGTCCACTTCTGAAACTTCTCAATTTATGAGTCAAAATATGAAACCTTTACACTACGGAGATTTTATAGACACTAAAGTGTGTTGACTCAAACTATCCATTTTCATGATAAAGAAGAGAACATGAACTCCATATAAGAAAAGATGCTTTCCACTTGTGGTAGCTTTACGTTTGTTCTAAAAATGCCCAGATAACACATTGCCAAAGTTGACTTTTCAAGCCTAAGTAAATTGAAAAATTGCAAGGAAATTTAATAAATATTTATATGTATAAACCTTAATTACTTAATTTTATTCATTTGTGACTTATTTCAATGTTTTATTTGACAATTTCATGCTTGTTTTCATATTAATCAACAAAAACGCATTGCGATAATCAGGAATTTTGAGTTTCATTAAGTTTCAGGGATTGAAAAATTTGTAAATGAAGTTTCAAGAAATTTTTAGAAAGGGATTTCAGGGTTCACAGCTCTAAGTGAGTGGCACCCCTGGTTTGTTCTCTGTATAGTATTGTGTAAATATTGTAAAGGAAATGAGTGCAGGTGAAATACATTTTAAGATAATGACTCATGAATATGGGTCTTTGTCATTTCATAAAAGGTAACCCGAGAATTTTTTTTTAAAATAGCATAACTTTCTTAATAATGGTCATAAAGTCATAAATTTAATGTCCACATGCTTAGAATTCTTAGATCTTGCAGCTTAAACACTTGAAAATGTTATTGGTGTAGTTTTAAAAATTAGTTTGGAGTACCTACTTTTAATTAAAAAAAGTCTAAACATACCATTGACCATTAAAAAGATTTCTAATTTTAAAAAAAAAAACACAACACATTACTCTTTTGTTCAATACTTAAATACTACATTCATAAAGACAAATGCCTTTGTGTGGGGATTAAGCTGCTGCAGTTCTTTTTGTAATAAGTTTTTTTTATTATTGTTTTTATTTAACAGAATGAAATTTCAGTAACATTTTAACATAGTGACCAAAGCAGGTTAGAAGAATTTTGCCAAAAGTCTGAATAGTATCTGGACACAATTTATGAAGTTTCATAGAAAGTTTAAGAGGTCTGCTGTAAAGTAATTTTGAAACTTGTCACACACAGCACTGCCGCACATTGGATGAGTAGCCATGTTACAGCTTGTACCCAGCACTGGGGGAGATGGTAGTGAGCGGTAGAGATTAAAGACCTTGAAACCATCCAAAAATTGCATAGGCTGGATATAATGGCTTCGGAACACAATGAAATGAAATTCAGCATGCTAATTATTGCACATCAACATAGAGAGCTTTATCCCTCTTGAGACGGAGCTTTATCCCTCTTGAGGCAGAGCTGTAATCCTCTTCAGAATGAGCTTTTTTGGACCGTCTGTGCCAAGAAATTGAAGGCAAATCCTTTTTCACAAGCCCTGCACTTACTTTGCACGACCAATTTTTAAAAATAAACTAATATGAGTAATAACCTCACAAATACAAAAACTAGATACATTCTTGTAGAAAATTGAATGACCTAATGCAGTCTATGAATCGAACTGAAATCTCAACATTTAAGCAAATTAGATACCGGTATCCTGATTTGCATAATTTATGCATGCAATTTATTAAAACGCTTAGTATAAACATGTTTACTTTCAGAATTTTGTTGATTGTTGAAGCCTAAATAAGTCCAAACAAACTTTTCAATGGGAGTCAGTGTGAAAAACTGCATAAAATATTCCACTGAGGGCGCCAATGCCTTTTAATATATTCCAAGATCCCATATTTTTTAAGCATCTATAGGTACACAAAAAATTGATTAAAAAATGACAGAGCACCATAAAATATCAATGGAAGCCGACATTAAAATGGTGAGATGAGCAAGAAATGCAAAAAGCATTCTGATTAGCTGGTAAAAAGACAAGCCAGCTAATATCGAGGTTTCTTTTATTTGGCAGATGGATCTGCCATTTGTCTTTTTTGCCATTTGGGCCGAAAGAATCTCAAGAGGGTTAAAGGAACAGTCAGACCAAGAGACAAACCATGAGACCCACAACAAGTACAGTGAAAATTACTCTGTGTAATCAAGTAGCATGAAAACAAATATAAATCCAATATTCCTTTTTCTCTGATTGAAATTTGAACATCTCAGTTATCACAGATTACTTAATCAAACAATATATAACAATCGTTATCACAAAAACCCAATTGGTACAAACATATCCCATAATCAGCATTACAATAAACGTCAGAAGTAAATACATCACATAATCATCATTACAATAACTGGCTGATGCAAATACATTCAAATAAATAACTGCTCAGTTTCAGGGAGCAATTAATGTACGCCAAATGGAATAATTCAACAAAATTTGGAATGGGAAGCATGAAAACTTTCTTACAGGGAAACGCAACCGTTTCCTTTATGAATGTTCTAACGCTTGAACTGTGAGGGTGAGTGGGGGAGATGGCTGAAGGGTCAGCTGTCGAATCCTCCGATACTTGTAGCCCGGGGTGAGGCTCAGCTTGAAATGTCTGAGGATCAGAGCCAGGGTGACCTTGGTTTCTGTCAGAGAAAATATGTGACCTATGCACATGTAGGGTCCCGTGATGAATGGCATGAACTTGTAGGGGTCGTAGGGCTCAAGGAATCTCTCCGGCTTGAACGTTGTTGGGTCTTCCCAGTTTTCTGGTAGCCTGAAGGGACAAAAGAAACAGGATTAAAAGAATTATTTACAAAACTTTATATTTTTAAACAGTATAGAATTTAAGGCAATTTAAGAATATACTAGCAAGAAGATTTCCATAACTTAGAGATAAATTTTAAAATATATGATAATTGTAACAATCCACTGAATAAAGAATATGATTATTTAAGCAAATTATGCAGGAGACCAATTTAATCTTACGATTTTGGCGTACACCGTACGATTTTGAGGTGTATACATTATATACTCTGTATGTTTATTTTTTTACTATTAAGATAATGTATTGAACGATTTTGTGATGATATTGTACGATTTTATGAGTTTGAGGGTTAAACAGCTCTGATGCAGGCAATAGATCCAAACAACTTTCTTCTTTGAACATTCTGAGATCACTCATGATTTTACATGCTGGCCAATGTGGCTGATGAAATGATCCCATCTTTTGTAATTAATTATCTGTATTAATCCGCCACATGATTTCTGATTTTTGGGTGAGGTTTCCCTCTAACAGACCTGTTCACCCTCAAACTCTTAAAATGGTACAATATCATCACAAAATCGATCAATACATTATCTTTATGGTAAAAAATTAAACATACAAAAACAATATATAAAAGGTATACACCTCAAAATCGTACATTGTACGCCTAAATCGCAAGGGAAAACAAATCTGCTCTAAGGTCAACTAACTATCATGATGTTACAACAATGTTCCAATTTAGCCATATATAGCTGAATATTTCAATAAGTAGATGAAAAGCTCTAGAAAAATACAAATTATTTGAACACTGACTGCCAGTGGCAAAAGAAATATATTTGAAATACCACTAATATGAAGAATCTCTAATATGAAGTATCTCTCATATGAAGAATCTCTAACATGAACAATCTTTAAAAAAAGACAAAATCCCTAATATGATCAATCTCTAATTTGAACAATATCTCCTCACTTGATTCAAATAAAACTTGTAATTATAGATCAACCCTGTTAGTTTGATATATTTGATATTGAAAAATGATAAATTATACAAGCCCTTGTTGAGTCCAAGAGCCAAACAGTCCCTGACCAAGGTATTTCTGGTTGATGTACAAGAAAGGTATTCTTGTACTTCAAACGAGACACCAAATAAAACAATGCCATTTTAAATATAATTTGGGTTTACTGATGTCACTTAAAGTCAACGCATGGAGTGCACCATAGTAACATCTCACCTGTGGAGTGCGCCGATACTGATACCAACAGGAGTTCCAGCTGGAATCAGGTAGCCACCAAGGTAGTCGTTTTCAACAGCTTTTCGGAAAATAATAGAAGCAGGTGGGAATAATCTGGAGAAACAAAAAAAACAAAAAAATTATTTCTTTCAAAATCTACTTGAACTAATAACATTCAAGTTTTTTAAAATTAATATTTTTAATGAAAGGATGAAATTCACGATGCAGAATACTACATCTTTTTAGTAGTGTACAAATGTTAAATAATTTGAGATAAAAGTTAAATTATAAAATCAAATTTGCACAATGAGCAAAACTAAAATTTAATCATGTATAAATATTTCTTCATTAATTAGGAATATCTTTTGTGATTTAAAATGGATGCAATCATAAAAGTTATTAACATCGTTTAAAACCAGTAAATCTTTGCACAGTTTGAACATTTGAGCACAAGTTAAGCATATTTGATATGTTCAAATCAAATAGGATGGCAGTGATAAATGTTGAAACATTTATTTTGCCCATTACAGAGCGTTATAAATAAGAAAGTCAATGAAAGTGGCAGGGATTATTCTAATTTTGAGCTGTTACACTTTATCAAATTTACAATTCTGCTCATATTTTTTACAGTTTGCCTCACACAAAGTTTAAAGACTCATCATTTAAATTTTAAGATAATTAACATAAATAATGCATTTTCTTTAAATTGAAATATTCCCCCAGATATCTCTATTATTTTTTACTTTTACTCTGGATATTCTCTACAACAGGAACTCCTCATCATTTAAATAAATCTGGAAGGAAATGAAAGCTGTGCCATCACCTTAGGGACTCTTTGATGACACACGTTAGGTAGGTTAGTCCGTCCAACACCTTGGCCGTAACTGGGGTGTTTGTATCCGGCAATAATGTCATAACTTCCTGTCTAACCTTTTCCTGGATGTCTGGGTGTTCAGCAAGCATGAGAAGAGTCCATGTGAGGTTCATGCTGGTTGTCTGCAATAAGCAATCATTACAGGTAACTCCCATGCTGAACTCCTAATGCATTACTCACCATCACAGCTGGCTCATTTATTTGATATAACTGCACCAAATTATCTAGTTCCTATTTGAAAATTGAAATGAATTAAAACTGCATATGAATTGTGGTCCAAAACTTTGTTGTTTGATGCCAACAGAGATTAAATGTTACCACATATGGTCATTCTGACAAGTGTTTAAAAGTTAAAAATTACTCGATTATAAAAATAAAATCATGTTTTAGAGCAGGCCTGCACACCATACAGCCCGCAGGCCCCATGCGGCCCGCCAGCACCCACTTGGCGGCTCGCGGAGTAACGAAATTTTTAAATATTTTTATTAATTTCTTAATAGCTTTCAGCCCTGTCCTGTTATCATTTGGCCCGCACAAGTTTTTCTTAACGCATAACCGCTCGCCTTACAGTTTGAGTAGTGCAGGCCTGGTTTAGAGTGTTAACTATTAAAGAAATATTTTAAGAAAATTGAAAAGTTGTTAAAATTGTGATTTAATCTGTCTGATTTCTCACCAATAATAGCAAGTAAGAAAACAGTATTCGTCTCCTAAGCAAATAAAAATATAATTTCGTAACAGCCCTAAATAGATAAATATATATCAATAAATTTCTAATAAATAAAGTGCTCTGAGCTAACCTCAAAACCAGCAAACAGAAATCCACAAACTTGATCCAGCAGACAGTCATCTGTGAGGCCATTTCCATTCTCATCTCTTGCCTGAAGTAGACGGGCTAGCAAGTCATTGCTGGCATGTCCTGTCATAGAAGCCAGACAGTTCTACATTGTGACTTGTTTATGCCACAGATACTTAGTAATTTACATAGTTATTCTCATATGCCAAGTCTAATAGTTTACATTGTATATCACACGAACAAAAAGTGAAACCCATTCCAAAACTAAAGTTAGATGGCTTGAAATGGCAATACAGTGAAACCTGGCAATATCATAACTTGAAATAGCGCAGTCACAGTCATATGTGCTAACACGCCCCAATAGGGAATGATTTCTGGCTGAACCTAAAAATTAAAAAATTCCTTCAAATAGCACCACCTTTGCTTTGGTACCAAGGGTTTGAGTTATTTCCAGGTTTAACTGTTCATTTTAAGAAAAACACTTTAGGAAAGTTAAAATACTAAAACAAACACTAACCTGCGGCTAACCTTTTTCTTTTCTGGGCGATGACATTTTGAATTGTGGAATATAAAAACTTGAGATCAGCCCAGGCTAGACGGTTGGATTTAGTTGGCAACCACTGTAATGGTAGAAGCTTTGACAACCTGTTTCAATTATCAAGAAACTGAATCAGCCCAGGTTAAATTTCCCTGATTTTGTCTATACAAATAAGTGAGATAAAAATAATACAGTTATCATTCACTGATTTGTTTGGATTTTGGAGACCAACAAAATTTTTTTAAATTTTAAATAAACATTTAACTTAAAGCAGTAAAAGATATTGAATTTTGTTTTATTTAGTTAAAACATTTTCCTAAAATTATGCCTTGTTATCCTTTAAATTTGAACAAATTAAATAAGGAATTTTTATTTCATTTTAATTCTTTCACATTCTCAATGCATCTTTGAATTTTTACCAATAGCAAATTATGTACTTTTATGAAATGTGCTGAGGACTTTTCTTACAATAGTTTCACCTCAACTGAAATCCTTGTAAGATGCGTTGAAAACTTTGAGCTCCAGATTGTTCAGGTTCTTCCACTGAATTTATGTCGTAATCAAACCCACACAGGCAAATAGCTTCAAGAGTCTGATTTAAATAGATGAAATGGAAAAGAAGTGAAAAGTTGTGTCAGTTGTATCATTTCAAAATTGTTTCAATAAAAATTATAACATAATAATGATTATTGTTCAAGATTGGCAGGTAAGTTTCCTAGCATAAGTTTGAAACAGGGTCACATTCCCAGTCAAGCCAACTTTTAAAAAAAAAATTATCTATTTAACCTTATTTTTAAAATAATTTGTTTTCTATATTATCAATCAAAATGAAAATCTATGTCACACTTTTTATTAAATTTTGAACAATAAATATAATGTAAAATCATCACACAATGTAAAAAAAAAAGTATAAATTTGTTTCATTTTTGGCAAATCATTTCCTAGTTTAAAGATAGAGAAACTATAATCTCCACTTGAGTAAGGTTGTTTTATGCAACTCCTGATTTGTTTGTTGTGTTGCTCACTCTAAATTTACACAAATGAATTTTGATGAAAAATGTGAGACCATTCAACATACAAGCCGGCTCATGAAACTCTGCGCGGGGACATGAGCTGATAACACTCCCAGATTTCTCATCTCAGCTTCCCAGCAATGAATCACTTTTCTAGCGGTTTTCTCAAACACTGGAATGAACTCTGAGGAAATTTAAAAAAACATATTCTCAGCCATTTCCATTTCAAACTACAGTTAATCTTTAAAATATACAAAGAAATGGATATCACATCTATTTTCATGAAAGAAAATAAAAGAAGCATTATATTTTCTCACTAAAACAATAAAAAAAATAATTACGTAATAAATAATTGTTTAAAAAAATGTCGGCATTGGCTGATAAAGCGAGCCAAATCATGGATAATCTGCCAACTTACTATCAGTACAACCCTAATTGAAATATGACTAAAGGTAAACATTTAATACAACGCATGCATGTAATGATAAGTACTTACCATTAACAGCATGAGAATTAAAAGCTGGGTTCAAATATTTCCTCAGGGTATGATGCTCATCTCCGCTTAAGGTTAGTAAAAACCCAGGTGTTATGGCTCTGAGGTTGCTAGAACACAAAAAAATTTTTTTTAATAAAGTGAGTTGAATTCAGAATTTTAATTAATTATCATTTTCATTGCAGTAAAATTGTAGGGCAGCATTACAATATAAAATTCTTACAGTACTCATCTAGATCAGTGGTCCCAAATGGCCTAACACTGCTTGTCCCCATAATATTTATTGTCAAATAGAAATAAAAGTATAAAAATAAATCATGCACCGGTTCTGGTCCTGGTAATGTTTCGTTGCTGCATCCATGTACTGGCATTTTTGCAACGGTTCGGGGTATGATGTTGCTATTCTAATAGCTCCTAGCTGATGCCAGAGGAGCCTTGAAGCTTTCGACTGATGTCGAGTTCACAGTTGCATCGTTCAGGTTGTTACATGCTATTATTGTCCCTGGTAAAATTTCGAAACTTGTTTACTGGTCCGCCAAACTTAAAAGTTTGGGAACCACTGATCTAGATAATGGAATTATTCTTTTAATTTTAAATAACCAATAAGATGGTTATTTTCATGCCATACTAAAAGATGAAGATTTTAGCTGCATGGGAAAAAAGGCATTATTAAAATGATTTTAACAATAAGGAAATATTGATGAGATTGTCTCTAAAAGAAAATTTGTAAGATTTTCTTTTTTATATATTGTATTGTTTAAATTAACAGCATACCAAAATAATAGTTGTTTTTTTTTTAATTTTTAATGCAGTAGATGTAGCACGAGATATATTTTATTGACGATTGTGTGTTTTTTAACTGGCAAAATCCACTTAAACTCACTCAGATGACATGCGAACATAGTTTTTACTGTTGGTCACCAGGACATGTTTAATCATTTCTGGGTCAGCAATGAGAACTCTGCCCTCACCACGTAAAAAGTAAAAGCGCACTATTCGAGAATTGTATTCTTTCATCCAGCTGCAAAAAAAAAAATGGCAATTAATTGTTTAATTTTTTGCAGAAATGTTTTAACTATGTCTTCAATAATTTTTACAGTAATAATCATGAATAATATTCCTTTTCATTTTTGCTTACAACATAAAAAGTGAAGTAGTCTATTTATTTTTTTAAATTTAATCTTACCTGTTAATCTAAACTATTCATTAATTTATAAATAAAAAGCATAAATGGTTAATGAAAAATTATTTACAGTCACAGCTGTATATAATAATAATTTCAGGAATTAAAGAATTTATAATTAGAGAAAGAATGGATTAAAAATTATATTATTTACTTGATTGTATTGCTCATTGCTTCCTCTTGTAGAGCCTCACGCATGTTGCCAATAAAGGGCTTGTATGGTCTTCCAGGAATCTGTTACATTATATAAATAAGCAAGAGTAAAGACCAGTTTGATTATTGTAAGTATTTTAGTCAATTTAAGTGAAATAATACTAATCAACAAATATAAAACGAAAACAAAACCAGAAAGGCATTGAATATTGAAAATGAAGTAAAATATATGTTTGCCAATAATAGAGTGTAAAATATATTATTTGTTCTTTGAAAGCCAAAGAGAACATAACATTTCATTAAAAGCTATTATTTGCATTACTAGTTTATTTTAGTAGCACAAGAGTTAAAAAATATTTTCTTCAGTAATAAGATTTCTAACATGAATTTTTTTTAAACTATATACTATACCGTTAAATTTTTTGACTGTTTTAGTGTGGAATTAATATAAGACAGTTTAGATAGGCTAATATCAATACAAAATAAACTTTGATTGTAATTACCTTTCTCAAAGGGGATAAAAATGGTTTGATAAATATTTTGAAAATGTACCAAGAGGTGGCAGCTAAAGCAATATATGGCAAAGCAGACTTCAATATATCTGACTGTACCATTGTTGTATAAATGACCTGTTTGAAAACAACAAAACAATATTAGCCTTCATTAATCAATGATCATTGACATTTACCTCAGCTGCCATTCATTCACATATACTGATATACACATCAGTTATATATTCATGTGGTGTGACTTTGTGATGGAGAGGCAACTTGATACAAGGTGTAACTAAGTATAACTATAACTATAAGTAAGAAGTAACAATATTGTAACTAAATAGGATTTTTAAAAATTTATTAAGGCCTGTGTCTATGTTCAGATACAAAAAATGGATTCCACCTGTTGTAACTGAACTGGAAACACAACACATTTTTGTGTAGAAACTATACTCCGGGTCAGAGGGTGACTAAAACTTGACTAAACTAAAGACTGATACTAAATATAATATAATACTATCACTATCAGTGCTATCAGTCAGTATAAGTGGTATTAATGCACTAATCTCTGATAATTTATTAATCATGAATGATTAGTAGTATTAAATTTTAAATAGAATTAATTAAATTAATTTATTACGAATTCACAATCGTTAATAATAACAATGACAATGAATCAATGAATTAATAATAATAATGATAATGTTATTCCGAATTCGAACCGGCTGTTTTTTAAACTTAATAAGAGGCAAAAAACGCTGCGGACTGAGTGAGGCTGACTTGATGTGGTGGTGAAGCAGAAGGATAATTATTACGATATCCTATATGATATTAAAATTTGGGTTATTTGGTTTTGATTGATATTTGTATCTCACTCACAAACTTGTACTTGTAGGATAAGGGACAAATATTTAGATGATAAACTTTGACCTTAGAACTAGAAAATAAGAGTGAGTTCCCTTTTAATCTTCTAAATTTTATTTTTAACAAAAAAATAATTCAGTAAATGACTCGCTGCAGACTCGCTGCTGTCTGGGGTGAATTAAAAATTTTAATGAAATCCTAGTTTTATATAAATATTAAAAAATATATGAATGTATCACAACGAAATGCTTGTTTGTTTAAAAAAATTTTTTTAATATAAATAGTAGAAAAACTTACCCGGTTACATAAATTCGTAAGTTATTGAGATCAGGTGAAGTTTTACATTTACTTCTACAAGTTTTGTGTGCTACGTCATCAAACTTGGTGGCGGAAACATTCAAATAATGTCATTTCTCTTGTTTGTCAACAATACCACTGGCGAAGTCTGTTTCACGTTAACGTTAATACTATGCAGTTATAGCTTAACACTAGATATATTATGATTTGTAATTTCCTGCCAAGATGAATTAGACTTTCCAGATCAACTAAAGCCGAAGGATTAGGCCTAGGCCATCCGAATTTGCCGTTCAGTCCTTTCATTTGGGAAAAATTCAGAACAAATCATGTTTCGGTTTGTGAATGTCTTATTACTTCTTATTAAAATTTAGTTAGACTTTAAACCCTCTCTAGGCAACTGGGTGTAAATAGTGTAATACACACTAAGACAGTTCAGACAGCCTGTGATTGCTGATATCTCGAGTCTCCTTTACCTTACCTGCTTTCAATAATATTTCTCACTCATTTCATACTCACCTACAACTACTAGAAGCCTACAAGTAATATGAACGCCTTGCCTTGTTGGAGGATTTAACTTTGAATAAAATTTAAGAATGCGGAAAAAGAACTATTTTTGGAAGGCTAGTTTTTTTTTTTTACCATCCCTCAGATCCCTGGCAACTGGGCATAATACACACATGCATAGCCATAATTAGATAGAAAAAAAAAGGCCGGCACTACGTACACCGTGGCGGTGTACCTAGCGAAACTATTGACTTTGGCCTGCGTACACCACGGCGGTGTACCTAGCTAAATCATGGTCTGTGGCCTGCGCACACCACAGCGATTTAAAGTAGCAAAACTATGGTCTTTGCGTCACTTTGCGAGTCTTTAACTTTTTGGCCTAACCGGTACTTGTAGATTTAATGTTATATTCGTGTTAAAACTGAAAACTATTTATTTAAAATTCGTTTATTACCTTGGGAAAATATTGAGTAAGTTCCACGCTTATTATTTTTGGAAGGGAGGGGGCTGGGGGTGTAATGTTAAACCATGATTTATTTTTAAAGTTAACCACTTTATTCCCCCTTTCCCCAATATATTGAAATACAAATATATTTATTAATTGTAAGTTTTATCATATGATTGTGAATCTTAATTTGAAATTATTCTCTCATGCCCCCCCCCCCCCCCACACCCAGTTGTTTGTTTTTTTTTGGGGGGGTGGCATTATAAATATTACATTGTATGTGATCCCTCGGGGCGGGGTGTAAAAATGAATGGGAAGACAGTGAATCTATTTTGTTAGCTCCAAGATATAATTATGCCACAAATACACTATGTGAAGAGAATCACATACTCATACATTAATCATGAAGTCGTGAAGTTAAAGTTGTCCGAGGCATTGTCATTGTGATACCAAGCATGTGTCAACACAAAACAGCAGTAAGATGATAAATACGAAACACTGCAGTGACTTTTGAAAGTCTTTTAACAATAATTAAATATCATTGATTTAGTTTTACATTGGCATTACACATTAGTAAAAAATGCTGGCGGAGGAGGGATGCAAAAGGTAAGTTTGTTGTGCGGACGTCCTTTGTGGACAACCCCTATCCTGAGCCGTGATTTGCGAATGCCCCCTTTTTGGTTAAGTCTCTGCCCATAACTCACCACCACCCCCACCTCCCGGCAAGGATCGATTTCTTAAAAAAAAAAAAAAAAAACAAATACAAAAACTTTGACATAGTGCAAATCCTGTCCCAAGCCCATTGTGCAATGGTTTCTGTGAGAAAACGTTGTGTTTTACCCTGAGAATAGCACATGTCATGCCTATCTGGAAACAAATTCCGTCATGAAAAGGGTAAACGCAGACCTATGGCTTTGCTATACAGTTTGCTACCGCTCCGCAAGTTTCTAAAATTAATGGTACATTTTTGCCGCGGTGTACCCAGGCCAAAGCCCATGATTGCACTAGGTACACCGCCGTGGTGTAAGCATCCACTTCGAAAAAAAAAAACTAAACTCGCATGTGAAAAATTTTCGTCTGTTTATTGATTATGTGTGTGATCCATAAAAGAGATTTTAAAAATAAATAAATAATCTGAATGCATTTGCTGACCAACAATAGAAAATGTATTCAACTTGGCCTTGACATAATCATAAACATTTCAATTTCAAAGCAGAACAGTCGCATGTACACATGAAAAATAGGGCCTTTGCAACTCAGCTTGCACAGTTTTTACATAAAATAATGTAATGTTCTTTGTAAATATGTCTACTAAACTTGCTGCATTGAGATTTAGTTCTATTATGGACATTTAGGGTTCAGGTTAGGTATAGTGATAGATTTTAGGGTTGAAGTTGAAAAACTATTTGAAGAAAGATATTTTAAGATTATTTTTGTAAAACTAAACACATTTTCAATGATACATCCCACCCTCTTCATCACAAATTCTTAGGTTTGGGCCGAATTTTTTCCATCAGGGCGAGGACTGAAAAATATAAAAGTTCTTTTGTTCCCCAATCTGTATGAATTTACTGGTGTGCTGCCTCTGAAGTCACACATCTTCATGAGAACTAATAAGTCCCCGATTTGGCTAAGAGAACTCACTGAATGGCTGTTTGAGATAATTTATTATAAATGTCTTGTCTTCAAATTGTTTTATTTATGTGCTGAAAATGTATAACGCAATCAAAAATATTTATTTGGATCAATAAAAGAATCTTATCTTATGTTGAAGGGACTTCAGACAAATTAAATTTAAAGGTTTTTTGCGAATTTTTCACTGTTCTACCCATTGGGAAATATACCAAGGGCGTGCCTCGACCTACCCATCTCTGGCCTTAATTTAATTAACAGACTTAAATACTCATTGATAGTCAAGGCCTCTGCCTATAAATACTATAATATAATATGGATCAATGATACGGAAAATTTGAGAAACCCTTATGTACATTAACTATGCCTAGGCTATATGTATACTAGACAAAGTAAGCGAGTAGACCGACTCAGCAAGTGGCGCATGACCTACTTACATCCTATGTCTACAGTCAGAGGCTTGTCACCAGTGAATAACCTGTATCCCATTACATAAAAGAACTGTTCACACCATTTTGAGAAGTGCCTACTATTATGATGTCATTATTGTATTGTTGCAGTTGCATACCTTTGTTGTCAATATGTGAGGCCCATGAGTCTTGAGTTGAAATGTGAATGGCCATTTTATTTTACCTGTAGCCAAGTAGGCATTAACCATCAAGCTGAACAGAGGTGTTCGTTTTCCTTATGTCAGACATAGTACTACTAAATATAACACCTACCATCCAGATTACTGTTTAAAGTATACCCCTACAAACCCTAGAACATTTTAGGCTTATCCTAAGACACCCAATCCTGGGCGTAAATAAATATAAATAAAAGAAGTCAATAAATTGATCTCCATCCCATTAAATTAGACTACGCCCTTAAAAATTCAGCAGTAATGCAGGAACTGTAAGATAAATAATAAACCTATATTAATTATTAATAATTCATAATTTTCAACAGATTTTTTAGAAAAGAAAATCTCAAGTCATCAAGAAGGAGGAGTGCATCTTGTCCTAATTTACAGCATTCTTCAACAGAAGAAATACATTTTGATGGCAATTACCAGAAAGGAAAAGCTGTTGATGATTTCCTGGCATCTTCTGAATCAGGTTTTTTTAAATTTTAACTTTATTAAATTATATTATTTTCTTACTCTAGACTTTAATGAAGTGCAGTCATATAAAAAAAATTTCAGACCAGGATGAAGATGTATCAGACTCAAAAGAACCCATTAGAATTTGGTTGATCATTAGAATTTGGGTAATTTATAGTCTCATCCTCTTGAACAGCATCTATGGCTGTTATCAATTTATATTCTAAATCTCTAAATCAAATGACTTTAATTAGACTCAGTGAATTATTTCCTTTTCTTGAAGCCACTCAGTTGTATAAAATACAATTAATGCAAATGAAACTTTCTTCTTATTTTAATATACTGTTCCTTTCACAGACCCAGATGAACATGATTCTGCTAACAAACTGGAAAGACTCAATGCTCAGAGATCTGTTAAAAGATTTAAACAGAAGGAAAAAGAGAAGAAAGAAAATGCAGACAAAAGTAAGTATTGCTGGCTGAAACATTACTTTCATTTTAAAAAAAATTCTCAACACATTTATAATAAAAGCAGTTTTCAGTACCGGTACGCAATAAAAGAAAAACAGTGTTTTAAGAGCTCTTACAATATAAATTAAAGGAACTGAATATATTACATGTGGTTAGATTTTCAAGGAAGTTAACATGAACACTTTTTTTTTTTTACCAATAGATCTGATATCAATGGATGATTACCATGGCAAACTTTCAGAGCTGAAAATGTGGCTTCAAGAAGAAGTAAAAACAAATTTTTAAGAAATTCATTATTTAATACACTGAATTAATTTATGACCCAATTCAATTTTTTTAGTGTTTTAGATTGCACATGTACCTTTAAGTGTTAAATAGATTGCATATGTACCTTATGTGTTACATAGATTGCATATGTACCTTATGTGTTAAATAGATTGAATATGTACCTTAAAGTGTTTAATAGATTGCATATACATCTTATGTGTTACATAGATTGCATGATATGACTGTCTCCTCTTTACTCAAAATGCTATTTTAAATGTTAAAATTATATAAAAGAAAAGGAAATAAATATCCCTTACGTTAATATTTTATTAAAATTTCCATATATTAGTACAAGAATTTGTTGTTTATACAATGGTAGTATTTTTATCGTGATAATTATTGCATGATAATCCAAACAGGGTAAGAAGGATGTCAGTACTATCAAGTCCCCAAAACTTAAATCCCACTTCAAAGCTTTCATCAAACTGTGGAACAAAAGAAAGCTGCCGGCCAAATACTACAAGAACCTCTCTGTGGACTTAACTAAAGTTGACCAGCCAGCTCCAGTTGAAGGATCTTCCTTTCGCCAGTACATTCAGTATGCAGACTCGACTCCAGCCCCACCTGTGCTACCAACACTGCCACCTCCACTGGACCTCAGCACTGATGATCGTTTCAGTAGTGTGGGCTCCCCGTTTTCTACATTTGGGAAAACACCTGATAACCCAAACAGCACTCCAGCTTTTCTTGCTAAACAGGTGACATATCTGTCTCTTTTGTTGTCTTCACTGTTGGAGATATATTCATTCCATACTAGTCATGTGTACAATTTTTGCAGGCCTACACTGGTTTACAATGGGAATCAAATACAGCTCAGTAACTTGTCCCACCTTTTCATTGAAATGTTTCATTACTTACCTTTCTGCAATGATCAGCACTTGGAAATTGGGTTCATTTGATTTGCTGAGCCTGAAGACCATTTTTAAGATTAAATGAGTTTATTGTCAAAACATAGTTAAATGACTATGTAAAAGTAACTTTCTCACTATAACCTTTTTATAGTTTTGCGTTTGTAAAATTAATATCTACAGTATTTGTTTACCATCTCTCTGTCAGATGAGCACCTCTCATGCAGTTGAACAGAATTCTAATTTTAACAACAAGGAAAGTACCCAAGTGGATCTGGACCTCTTTACGGTAAGATTAAGACCTCATTAAGAATATTTTCCAAAGCTGTTTCCAGCTGGTTTTTATTTACCTTTGACTTCATATGAAATAGAATAAGAAGTCAGAGATATCTCTGCCATCAGATTTGTGCAACCCTCTACATATTTCATTTCTGTTATATTTAATTTAGAACTATATCAATAATATCATGTTTACCAGTTAAAAGGAGATGGCTAGAAATTTTTAACATGATGTTGGAGAAGTGCTTGAACACAATAATAGCAATTGTTTGATGCTTTCTTTTTTTCCTCTTAAAAATTAAAAAAAAAAAGAATTTTAAAAGATATAAAAGATAAAAAAATTTTCCAGGTTCCTTCTTTAGATGTTCAAAGTAGTCCTCAGAAGTTCGCAACGATTTCACGATCGTAAGTTTTAATAGCAGTTCATTTTATTCTTTTATTGATTAAACAATAGACTTTGTTTAAAAAATGGAAAGGATGAACATTAGCTTAAGCATGACATTTTTTATATAGAGTGGGAATTATAAATTTAATTTCTCTTCAATAACTATGGGCATTTTCATTCTTTTTGACTTAAAAGTACATTTTTGCAATTCTTGCATACCACAAATTAACTACACATAAAACTATTTTCCCATTGATGCACCATATCTAGACACTTAACTTCTGCAGATATTCCATTGCAAAACCTACATTATTTCCTCTGCCCATATTAATTTCTTTAAATGATTATATAGGAAAATTTCAGCTGCTCACGTAGGAGCTGTTGGCAGAGTCAGATTTTTATGCCACAGATCTGTCTCTATTGTTCTTTCAAAAAACGTAATAATTTTTAAGCCTTTTCTAAAAAGTTGATTTTTTTTAATATATTCCAGAACCCCGGTAACCAGTCTCTTTAAGCTGTCTACTCAGCCATGGACTTCTAGAGACAATGCTCTGAGTCCAACATTTCCCAGTCCAGTGTGTCCCAAAATGGCAGGAACCAATTTCACGGTGGCATACAAGAACAAGCCCCCAGGCTCACAAACTCTTCCTTGTAACTTCGCTCCAGGCAAGTTAGAATAATTATCCTTTCATTTGTAATTGCTCACATTTCTTGCAATAGCTGCAACTAGCTCTTACATCTCAGGTATTATCTTGGCTTGATCTAACTCAAATATCTCAGATATTATCTTGGCTTGATCTAGTTCAAATATCTCAGGTATTATCTTGGCTTGAACTAGCTCTTATATCTCAGGTATTTTCTTTGCTTTATTATTTTAATGCAGAATGTAGCATTGTCACATTAAATAATCAATAGAGATTATTGGGATATGAAGGCTGGTATGATGTTTTTTAGGTGAAAATACTTTCCTTTTTTTTTAAAAAAAATAATAATAACTATTTAGCTAAACTGTTCTAGAAAATGTCATAATTTTTATTCTTTGCAAAAAATGTTTAATTATGTCCCTTGTCATAGAAAAAACTTCACTGTATTTCTCTGCCATCTTTTAACTATTGATGACTGAGTGGGTAACTCTTTTTAAGTTACAGGACAAATGCATTTAATAATTCTATTTCTCCCCACTGTGCTATTTTCAGATGTGACAGCTGATGACAAGGATTTGGACAAGTGGATAGCAGGCTGGAACAAGTTCACTGACCAGAGTCCCATCTATGACACTGTCATGGATGCCATCCAGTGCAGCTCTGAAAGTCCTATATACACTGAGATCGATTCAGACATCCATACGGATTACCAATACCCATCCGTTTCTCCGATGAAGAACAGGAAGTCACCTGTTAAGGAAACAAGGCAAACTGCAACGAGGCAGCCGCCTTTAATCAGACGACGCTCAAAAAGCATGGAGGATATTTATTCTGTATCTTCTAAATGCACTGGGGAGAGGAAGTGGCCAGATTTTCTAAGAGAGGACTCCATTCAGTCTCAACCTCTTCCTCCCCCTCCTATTCCAGAGAAGAAATTCAGTCCCAAAAAATTGTTTGCTACATTCATTAGCCCCAGCGTTGCCAAAATTCAAACAGTAGTAGGACTAGAAGGAAAATCAAATTTGGTCAAATCTCCCTCAGTGAGAAGTAATAAAACGGTTCCTTTGGACTTGACAGCAAGCACCAATGAAAGTAACAGTCAGAAGAGACGTTCACAGGAAAGTGTAGAGTGCACGCAGGAGCAACCTTCCAGCCCTGTTAAAAAGGCGAAAGCGGATTCTCAATCCCACACGGTCGGTCACATTGCACAGTTTGCCAACATCAAGAACATGGAAAGCTCATCGAGCCTGGAATACTTTCAAGACAGTTTTACCTCCAGCACCAACAAGTTGTCCATCCTGACCGGGAGCCTGCATCCCACGACCAGGAGCAAACACAAACTCAATGACAGCGATGCCTTTAACAATTCACACGCAGAGAAGTCGGACGTCTTTGATGCAGAGCTTGGCGTCCTGGAGCTAAAACAGCTTGAGGAGTCTCCCAAGTTTCCCAGGAGGAGGTTGAAGCGCAGGTCCTCCAGCTTCAGCACCACCCCAGGTAAAGGTCTAACATTCGGGAAGTCATCTAAAGTTTCAGGTGCGTCCCCGAGGAGGCGCGTGTCGTTTGCAAAAGATGTGAAAGATGCAGAAAATGGTGGGGGTCCGAAAAGAAGATCCTCGAACCGCATGGTCGTGTCGCCCAACTCTGCCAAGTTTTCAAAGCAGTCCAAAGACAGGATGGAGTTTGAATCCTTCATGTCGGCCCACACTTCTCCACCAAGGAAGTCCAACTCGCCTGCAAAATTGCAGAGTCCTGAAAAAGTTTCACCAAAAAAGCTTCCCTCACCGCAGAAAAGATCAGATGAAGTGACAAGACTTGAGAAAGTCAGTGCTGATCCACCTCCAAGCTCACCCCAGAAGCAGAGGTCTCCTGTGAGCAGACCTAGTGATGAGAAGTTATTTCCTACTTCGCCAGTCAAGCAGCTAGGAAGACGAATTATCGGAAAGCCAACAGCATCATCTCCTCCAAGCCACGTGGGAACAACCTTGCAGAGTTCGCCAAGCAAATACTTCAATAAAAAATCAACATCCCCTCAGAAAACTTTTAACGTCTCTACCAGAAAACTTTCTCCCCCTAAAAAACTGCTTGAGTCTCAGGTTGCCCTGCCTAAGAAGACAATCAATTCTCTTGTGTCAAAACTTGGTGAGAAAACCTCCACAATTTGTGGAGCTGAGATAAGTGAAAGTGAAGGGTATTCTAGCAGTGATGATTTACTAAATGGCACACTGCCCACAAACATGGGGCGTGGCGTAACAAAAATGGATTATTGTAGCAGTGAAACAAACGGTGCTGTAAAAAGTTTAGGACACCAGGAAAATGAACTATTCAATGACTTACCTTGGAGTGCAACTGGAAGCTTCAGTATAAATGAGCTAGCAAGTCAAGCTATTTCTCGTGAATTCCCGCCAGAAGAAATTACTAACAAAACAGGCTCATCAAAGCAAAAAATTTTTTATAGGAATTTTAACAGTGCAAACGCTTGTGTAAAAAATAACAATGAAACCCAAGACTGCTCTTCAAAATATTCAAGTCATCGGCTTAATCAACTTAATGACACCTCATGTGATTGGCAACAGGATTCTTCCAGCTCAGTAACTCACAGAAGTTCAGCTCAAATGTCCCGTCAAGGGAAAGCTATGCACACACAATCTTTTTCCAATATTGGATTAAAAACTGATGATTCAATAACACCAACAGAGCCTACGCTTGAAAATGAAAATTTTGAACTGCAAGCACTGCTGTGGAACTCTGCCACTGAGGAAAACCGCAAAGAGAATTGTAATTCTATAAAGGATAATCAAGAAGAAACAAATATTCTTAGACCGGCTCTTCATAATTTAACAAGTCTGCCTTCAGCCATTCAGTACACTGAAGATAATCATGTAAGAGAGGCACCTACAGATAATCATGTAAGAGACGCTCCGCTTGATAATCATAGCCAAAAGGAAAGTATCACCAGGAGTTTGACCAAGGGGATGTCTCCTTTCACTGCTGGGCTCACTCAGTTGGGTGATGAAGGATGCAAATCACCAGTCTGCAGATTGGATGAAAAAGTGCCCAGTCTGGGACGGGGTCAAATTGATTATGAAAAGCTCTGGGATACTGAACACAACAACGAATGTTCAGATGAGGACCAAAAGCGTGGTCTGGAGAGGTTGCACAGTATTCGGGCAAGCCCAAAGATTGTTGACAACGATGGTTGGATTACAGAGAGGAGGAGAAGCAGCAAGGGGAAAACCAAGGCCTCATTCCGCTCTGCTCCCAACAGTCACATGCTGAGGTCATCTTCCCGAGAGGAAGAGGAGGAAATGATGGGCCAAATTTTATCTATATCCGAAATGTGTAGCAGTCCTGAACATTCTTCAACCAATAAAATTGTTACACAAAATCACGAGGAGGTAACTTCAAAAACACAAGTCGTTCCAGTCAGAGTTGTCAGTCCCTCTGGTTTAGAAAGTCCATCTTTTGATTTAAGCTCTCCGCACACTGTAACTGTCAGTCAGAAACCAGTAACACCTGGCAAGATAAAACCAGCCGTCATGCCAAAACCAACTAGTACCCTGACCCTGGCTCAGCGTCGAATCAATCAAAACAGCCCGGCCCTGCCAACGAATGCTGCCTCGAAGAGATGCAGTTCTCTGAACACCAAAGAAGCAAACAAGCACAAAGAGGATTACATCAGGAAGAACATCAGTGCTGTGAGATCAGATTCCAGCAGACAAGCTAATGCAGTGGCCTCCAGAACCCAAGAAACGGTGGTTGCCGGCAGAAAACGTAGTACTGCTGGGGACGTGAATCAGCTGACAAACCGTCTTAGAAGTAAAACGGCCAACCATGATGTGGGCGCCCCAGCTGGCAGACGCGTGAGTAAAACGGTTCAGGAAGGGGAGGTGAGCAGAGTATGCAACAGGCGACGCAGCAGGACAACCAACCAGGAGGATGAAAACAAAATACCCAGCTTCACGGACCGAAAGAAGTTTTTCCAGCAGCTTCAGACAAAAGTTGAACAGAAGCAGCCAATCAGGCTGAGCCCACAGAAGCAGCCAATCAGGCACAGCCCACAGAAGCAGCCAATCAGGCACAGCCCACAGAAGCAGCAAAGAGAACTTGCAAGCATTCAACTTAACGATGGCTCTGATAAGACTTGGATTTCACCAGGTTTGAACCATGTCAATTTAGAGCAAGCTGACAGCGGTAAACAGTTTTCTCATTATTACTCTGTTGAAACACAAATTTAAAGGTTGGTCGATTCATGCTTACTCTGTTTAAACTCAAATTTGAAGGTGGGTCGACTCATGCTTACTCTGTAAAAGAAATAATTTAAAGGTTGGTTAACTCATGCTTACTCTGTAAAAGAAATAATTTAAAGGTTGGTCAACTCGTGCTGGCTCAGCTGAAACAGACAGACAAAATTATGTTGACAAGCTACTGTTGTTGCAAAACTTAAGAAAGTACAGGTACAAGGACATGTAACCTCAACAACAAAAAGTCTTCATTTAGCAGCTTTTTGGTACTTTGCATCCCTGAAGTGTTCTTGAACGGACCAGGATAAGTAAAGTAGTAAACCACTCTCTTGAAACAAGATGAAACATTTACTTAAATGAAGTTTGTCTCAAAAGTTGTAGAAACTGTCCTTAGGCAGCTTGGCATTTGATCGTCGTGTTGGGCATGATATACACTGTATGGTGGAATCTCATACTGCACAATCATTTTTTGAATTATTGTTTAATTTAATTGAAACATTGATTTTTCAATTATTTTTTTCCCTTCATATTGTATTAAAATGAAATAATGTATTTAGCGGTATCTGCAATTATGTCCCTTATATAACATTATTGTTTCCCTTAGATAATGTATAATATTAGAATCAAAATTAAAGTACCTTTTTTTAAAACTATGCTCAATCCATAAGCTGCTTGGTAATATGAGTCAAATATATATATATTTTTTAAATACATTTATTATTGTAACAGCGCGCTACAAAACTATGGTGCCCTTTTTTTTTTTTATATTTCAAATTACAGTTACAGGTAATAGTTTTGGCCTCAATGCATTGGTTTTTTTTATCAATTAAATCCCATCATTGTGTTGACACCAAATTATCAATCTTCAAAAATGTGTCACAAATGTGATACCACACTACACATCATTTGAGTGTAAATGATCTGCTTGTGAGTAAAACTAATGATAGCACTGATTTGCTCCCTGGATGTGATCTGGGCAGGCTGATTGTAATCTCACCACAGATCGGACCTGCTATCAAGGAATGACACTTGATAGATAGCGGCCTGTCAAGTGCCTCTTTGTTAGGTTGGCTGCCGCTAGGTGGCGCTCCTTGCTATCTGGCCAGGTGAAAATGTAGTATGATTTTGTTACATCACCCTTACCATAGTATGGACAAGTCAAGTATAAATAAACTGAATGACCAGACAGAACAGTCCTCAGCCATATTTCAGGGGCACACTAATAGTAATAGTAATATAGAGCTGAGCTAATTTTACTCTTCGTGTTGCAATGCATGTAGAGTTCTCTCCACTCAGTCAAAGGCACTAGGAATCCATTTCATTGCCTCACCATTCTCAGTTATTTATAATACCAAGTAACTCATAGGGCAGATGAAATATTTTTCAAATGAGGACTTCAGAATTATATTATTATTCTCCTCACTGGAGATAAGCTAATTAAATGTTTAGTTATAACAATTTGGAGATGATTTTAAAGCATTGTAACTGCATGTTAATTAATTGTGAACAGATAATTTTACTTTTGAATTTATCGGACTATCTTATTGAATTCTTAACATTTGTGCAGCATCCGAGTGTTATATTAATTGTTGTGGTTTTTTTTTTTTTTTTTTTATTAGTTTTTTTTTTTTTTTTAATATCAATCAAAATTAAAAAAAAAGCT